TCAAATTGTTTCCCATTATCAGAGATGATTGAGTGTTGAATGCCGAACCTGTATATTATATTCTTCCACAAGAATTTGGAGGTGTTGGCCTCAGTAATTTTCGCCAAGGGTTCAGCCTCTACCCACTTCATGAAATAATCAATCGCAACAATAGCAAAGTTGGCGCTTCCCCTACCCTTTGGCAAGGGACCAATGAGGTCCACGCCCCACTTGCTGAAGAGCCAAGGGCTGAACACTGTAGTAAGTTCCTGAGAGGGTCGCCTTTGTATGTGGGAGAAGCGTTGGCACCTGTCACATTTGCTAACAAATTGAAGGGCATCTTTTTTCAAAGTAGGCTAATAGTATCCCCGTCTCAGTGTTTTGTTTGCCAGGGCCAACCCTCTGGAGTGATTGCCACAAACGCCCTCGTGGATTTGTCGAAGCACATAGTTGGCTTCTTCTTCTCCCACGCACTGAAGGAGAGGTGTGGAGAACCCACTTTTATAGAGGACATCATCCATTAGCATGAAACGGGCAGACCTCCTTCGTATTTTGTATGCCTTTTCCTTGTCATCAGACAAAGACGGATCTTTGAGGTAGGATATAAGAGGCTGCATCCAAGTTGGGGTTCCTTCCACCCACATTACTACTTCTGCCGAGGTGGATGGTTTCAAGAGGTGCTCAATTGGGACTACTGTCAACAACTCAGAGTCCTTACTACGGCGAGCTTGGACAAAGCATCAGCATGTGCATTTTCGAGACGTAGGATTTGGTTTAATTCAAATTTCTCGAAAGAGGGGATTAAGCTCATTACCAATTTGAGGTAGAAGGCCATGGCCTTATCCCGAGCTACAAAGTTTCCATTCACTTGTCCCACAATAAGCTGAGAATCGCTGTTGATGTGAACCCTCTTTACCTGCATTTCCTTAGCTAGCCTTAGGCCAGCAAGGAGGGCCTCATATTCTGCTGCATTGTTTGTAGCTTTAAATTCGAACCGTACAGCACTGTTCAACTTGTGAGCTTCTGGGCTTACAAGAACCACTCCCGCACTTGAGCCTGTTTCCCCAGCCGAACCGTCTACGAATAAGTTTTACATAGGAGGGTCAACGGGCTCCATAGCCTCGTCCATTTCAGGGGCATTAGTGAACTTTGCCACAAAATCAGCTAGGGCTTGGCCTTCGATAGCAGTTCTAGCCTTGAATAGGACTTCAAATTCACTCAATTCCATTGCCCATTTCAATAGCCTTCCCGAAGCGTCAGGTTTTTGCAAAACTTGCCGGAGAGGAAAGTTTGTCAATACATGAATAGTGTGAGCTTGGAAATAGGCCCTCAGCTTACGGGATGCAATGATCAACACCAGGGCCAACTTTTCCATATCCGGATAACGAATCTCAGGGGGTAGTAGTGCCTTGCTGATGTAATAAACTGGCAGTTGGGT